TTATTTTATTTATTAATTTTTTAATTGTTTTTAAATGAATTTCATCTCAATGTTACTTTATCCTTTCATTTTTATAATATATTTTTGTATTTTTTACCAAGATATACATCTTTTTATACTTTTGAAGTAACCGAGATATAGTAATAAAAAATTATTTTAATTAATAATATTTTGAATGTGTTTCTACTAAAAATTTCGAGAAAATCAGATAGAACCTCAGAATAATTATCAAGGTTCTTGAAAGGGACTAAAAAAAGATCTAGTAAACATCGCGCTTATCCATCGTATGAAGAAAATGGGTCAAGCGACAGTCGAGGCTAGAAAATCCAGCCGACCAGTCAACTATGTAGCTAAATCCAGCTTGCGACAAAAAGCGCAACGAAGCGGTGCTGCAGCTGCATCGCGTATGCTGCGGATCCTTTTATCGCGTTACGCGCGCATCGGAGGAGACTTCGACCTTTCCCGTAGTATGCAGCCCCTACCTGTGAAGCAAGAAAGCTTCAGAAAATATCTATATATCGGTCCTCATGGTGGCATTTCGCGCGGCTTAAGGGGGCGTTCCTCGTTATACCGAAGGTTTCTTTGTCGTCAGAAGCAATCGTGCTCGGTTTAACGAAATAGGCTGCGCAGATAATAAAAAAGGGATTAATCGAGAGATTAATCAAGCCAGAGAAAAGCGGCAGAATAGAGTTCGAAGTAATCTTTTATAATTAGACCTACTGAATGCGATTTGTATGACATATTCTGAGACTTTACAATGTTCTATTATCAGTATAACTATGATTAATTATCACATATTATTATACACAATTATAATTGTAATATTATAAAATGATTTAATTTTTGTATAATTTACTTTACAATACATAGTAATTAAATATAGAAAAAAAGAATATTAAAGAAAGTATTAAATTAAAAAAATCATCAGTGTGTAATCGTTAATATAATAGGTTAATATAATAGGTAATCGTTTTTATTGCCTACACGAAATATATACCAAATTTATTATCACACTTCATTACTTTACTTCGTATGACTACAAAATATATTTATTTGCCATTTACATAAATTTAACAATTAATATTCAGTTTGTTACCGTAACGGAAAGAACCTCCCTCGACGCTTCGCGTGAAGCAATATCGAGGATAACAGATACCCATCGACTTTCCTTTTAACTCTTTCGTCTCTCTCTCTCTCTTTTTCCTGCTTTCTCGATCTGTTCTCACTCTCGAATAGACAGAAAAACCACATCACACACGGTAGGTGCGACCAAGAGTAAATACGGCACCGCCAAGAGGCGGTGTAAATGTCAGAGGATCACGCGCTCTCGATACACAAAGCGGCACGTATATACTTGACGACATTTATTAAACGCGTCATCGTGGAAATCGGTCCATCGCTCGAAGAAATCAGATCAGCGAGAAATCGTCTTGGAAATTGAATGACACTCGGAAACGCGTCGATGAGCAGCAGCCTTTTTTTCTCGGAAGAATAAGATGAAGGCGATATCGGTTTCTTTTGATGACGTGATAATGTGCAAGAAAATTTCACAGAACTATTATTGAAGAAAAAATTGAAGCACACATACATAAATAAGTTCTTTTATTTAAAAGCAGAATCTTTAGATATAGAATTTTAATTAAATTTTTTTCAATTATCTGTGCATATGTGTATATGTATATACGCACGTAAAATTAACTATGTAAAATTAACTATTCAATAAATTTCACTTTAATTAATAAATTGAATTGAATTGTGTGATAATTATACAAGATTAAAAAAAGAGCTCGGCACTTAAATAGCAAGTAGTAAATGTCTAATCAGTAATCAACATAGCTCAAAAAATGAATTATATAAAAAATAAAATATATTTTGGTTTTAATAATATAAATTATATTTTCATTTTTGTAATAAAATTAATACATCTTTTGTAGAAATCAATCTTTCTCATTTTACATAAAAATATCGTAAAAAATAAACGAGAGATTTTATATTTTGTAAAATATTTTTAATACAAAATCGTTTATATTATATATACATACATATATAAGAGCTGTATTTTTTTATACTCTTTATAATAAATTTCTAGAGCAACTATATTAATAGACATAATAATATTTCTCATTATTCAATAATAATTAATTTAAAATTTCAGTTTATAAAGATTATATAAAAAATATATATATATATATAATAATTCTATAACGTTTCAAAATATGTAAAAACTTTATAAATCTGAAGCAATAAAATTATGAAATACTAATGTGCTTATACACAAGGTACATCGATCGTTTGATACACTTACGTTTCTTGCTGCTTAGTCGGCGCAAGAACTTGCAGAATTTTTTATATGCAGTATTGGCCTCTTTGCCACCCAATTCCACAGCGCTTTTAGGACGTTCGTTTTTTTGTCCAGCCGCCGTCGGATAGAATTTTGGATATCGCCATTGCTGACATGGTTCTGACCAATCAAGATTGTTTGCTGGAGCCATGATCTAGAGATCGATTAATTATCGAAAAATCCCACGATATATCACGATTATGCTTCGTTTTTACTTCGTTTCATATTTTGAAATATCGAGATCAAAATCAAATTTTCGTCATTTCACTCAGTTCTCCAAAATAAAAGACTAGATTTCAATTAGTTTTCTTTGGTTAATTATGTTGTATCATAAATATTATCTACTATCGTTTTTCGATTATATAGTTCTTTTTCTATTGTTATTTTTTATTATATATATTTCTTTTATTATTATTTTAAATTTTATTATTCCTTTTTAAATTATAGATCAATATGCTTATTATTATAATGCTTTTAATGCTTTAGATCACAGATAGAAGTTATTCTCCTCAATTATTGATACATATTTGTTTTAGTGTGTAGAACTTGTCTACCGTAACTTGTTTATTTTGTATTTAATTCAGAGAATTAATTTATATTTGAAGAATTGTAATTTATAAATACAATTCTCTTTTAGAATTTTTCATATAATTTATTTATATATATCACTATATATTTTATATTCTAAATTGTCTCTTTAAGTACATTTATAGTATTTTCACATGCGTTTTTAATACGAAATAATTTCCACAATATCTTCAAAGATTTCCACAATTCTTGCAGAATCGACAATTACTCAAGTCGCGAATTTAATAAGAGTCGAATATCATGAATATTCATATAGTACAAAGTTCAATAATCGTTTATATTTCTTTCTTCAAAATAACCAATTTTTATTTTCCATACAGAATTAGAAAATATCTGTTCTCGATTATTATTCACATAAAAAATTGGCACTCAAATTAACATATATTAACTGAAAAAATTTAAGTTTTATATTTTTATCTCACTAATTCGTTATATATGTCTATTTAATTCGCGTTTATTTATTCCAAGTTTTAATGTCAATAAAGATTTGTCGATATTGTTTTTAATACTTTACTGTTCTCACAAAAATTATTAATGATTGCTACCATATATCACTTTTATATCCTTTACATCATCATGCGATAATCAATCAGTCTTCTATAATCTTGTATAATCGGTAAACAATTGTCTTCAATCTTTATAAAAATTATTAGTTATATTATATTGACACTTACAAGATGAATGGGGTATATTTTAAATATAAGTTTTAAAAAATTTTTAAGATTTTTTTCGCGATAGACTATGATACATTGCGATATCACGATTGGAAAATATCTCTTGTTTCTACAAGAATCTTCAACCACTTATGTTCAAATTAAAACAAGTGTCTTACATTTTTTTCTACACTGAAATATTAAACTTCCATCACTCAAGTCTGTCTTTTCAAAGGTAATCAATATTAATCACGGATTCTGATCGCTTAATCTTCATTTGCAATATCCTCACATTTCTTCACAAGAAAGACCGATGGTCGATTGATTCAATCGCTTGATTTAGACTCACAAAAATTCCTTTTTTTCTCTTCTAAGATGTGCACTTACTTCATTAGGATTGCAACAACAATGATCGCGTTTTCAAACGGATACTAACGATTAACTCGAAGCGCGGTGAGATCACACAGATTGTGTCGGATCGGCGTGATTCGCAACCGGGACCACTGCCGGCCCGAGCCGACTTACATGCAGTAACTGCGTTGATTCGCGATGGACTACCAGCACGCGACTAAAGCCAACCACGCCGTCGATTGAGCCTTTACTTGCGCCGCGTCGGTCGTTCAAGATGACGCAGTGGGAGAGCACAGCGCCGGATCAACCCTTTGTCTTCCAAGATATTTTTGTCTGCATAATAATTATAATCTTGTACAATAATTATCGTCTGACGTATCTTAAAGTAAGGTAGAATAAATTTTTTTTTTCAATTTGATTATAACAAAGAATATAAAATCCGTGTTTTTCATTTATATTATGTATACCAAAATAAAGTTTCTCCTTGAGAAATCTTTTCTCCAATTGTTGCCATTCTGTTTAGCATTAAAAAATTATTCAATGGCCGCGTTTAGCAAAACGTAAACGTTTATTTTGCAACTGTCTGCAATTTTTTTTCTTGAGCTAGAACTATTCCCTTAGATCTAAAAGTATAATTCAATAAGCGCGAGAAAAATTTCCAACAGTTGCAAAATAAACGCAGCCAATTGCTAGTCATATTTCTTCATGAATTTGAATTCTTGATTAACTGAAGCATTAGAATTCGAAACGATAATTCTTTGATACCGTGCATAACAACCGACCCTGCAAGTGGTATAGAGAGAAAAAGAGAGGAATAGCCGGAAGAGAGTGAGCGTTTGACCGGGAAAGTGAATAATCATGTCGATTGCATCCGAGCCGTTAGATTCGACTTTCGTCCATCCCAGGAATTTGTGCTGTTGATTCGATTACTGATAAGACGAAATAAGGCGATTTACGAAACGGTACCGCTCGATTGTAGATAAAGAGATACCATTTCTGTTAGATCGATTTCCGGCGAAGGCCGAGTCGTCTTCCCGCAGAATTGAAATTTTCGGTCTATAAAAAGTTGAAATCAGATAAAAGCGAATTAATTAGCGTTTCACGTTTACTACATGATTTTACGTGATTGTTGGCCGTGATAATATTTCTTAGGGAGGTTCTTTCTGTATTAAATACGTTAAATAGGGCACAAATACGGATTACGATGCGGTTTTACAATGTACTCGAAAGACGATAAATTATATCTAATAATAAGTGTAACATTGTTAAGTTAAATATTTCATAATTATCGAATATGCAATGAAATGATTTGAAATATTTGATGTTTTTACACATAAGATTATAGACACTTATATATAATAAAATAATAAATACAACACTCATTTTCTTTTCACAAAAATTGTTTCGTATAATTATAATAGAGAGATAATTATCGTACATCTTGATAGTTTTTTTATAATCGCACCTGTGATAATTCATCGCAATATCTTGCTATTACACTCGAATTGTATTAATTTCACGATGAAACCGCGAGAAAATTATAGACTTATAACATTATTAGACCGAAAAAAGTGGAAGTTTCATTCGTAGAAAATTTATCTGCAGTCGACGCTCATGCAAAATCGCTCTATTCAAAATGAGGCAAAATCATTCAAGTGTGTTATAAATATTTCTTTCACGTTCGATTAAGTTTTACGTCCATTAAACGAGATACTTAAATTGTGATAATAACGTGTATCAATAATATCGCTATAGTGTCGCAATAATCTCTAGTCATAGCGTATATCCTTCGTCGTCATAACGATACATATTAATAACTCGCACTTGAAGCTGTAAATAGCCTTCTTTTATTTAACTGAGCTCAATATAAATGGTAATTTAAATCTTAGTAGATAATTTAAATTTCGTAAAACAGAATAAATTAATGTATTTATATTACATAGTGTATGTTATTATTGCAAATAAATTTGTATCTGTATTTTTTAGCATTTTAATTTTTTGTTAGCAAAAAATCTACTTCAAATCGCTTGAAAGGAAATTATAAAAGTGAAAACAATAGTAGAAAAAATTGGGTACTCGATTCTCGCATTCCTGCGTCGAGTAAAGCGAGTGAAATAAACGCGTAGATACATATGTTAAACGAAGCAGGTTAGAGTATTTGCTATATTTAGCTGCTATAAGAAGATAATACACGTTATAACACACAAATAAGCGGCGCACGTGAGTAATATCGGAGTACGCGCGTCTCGAGAAGAAATATGATAACGAATGCAGAGAGCACATGGCGAACTTTACAAAAGCATTTAAATTGTTCAAAATATTAATATTGTTTGTGTTTCAGCATAACCAAAAATATAAAAATTTCTTGAATTGTTCTACTATTGCGTTTGAGTATTTCTGTAAAATTTCAACACAATTTTCTTACTAATTTAAAAGGTATTCAATTTCTGTTTATTTGTCTTGATTCTTATGTAAAATTGTATTTTATAATACAATACTTTGCAAATTTAATATAAAATCGCAACATTATGAATTAAATCAAATTCTGTAAATAAAAACTCTAATTTTGATAATAAAATTAATAAATATTTGTGCAAAAGTTCATTTAGATGTATTTTACTTGTATAAAAGTTATTATCTAAAACAACATAATATATATATATATATATATATATATATATATATATATATATTGACTTT